AAATCTTTGACGATCATTGTCGGCCTTCTGAAGTCGTACCATCCATACACCTGTTAAGAATTTAACCCGATATAATTATTTTGAAACTAATATTACAGACGATTTAATTTTTTAATAAAATTACTTGTATCTACATTCTAATGGTATTGATATATAACTTAATCATTCTTATCTAGCAATTTCTAAAATTACTTTATTTCATAAAATCTATAGTTTGTACTCCCAGTGAAATAAAAATAATACTATATATTTTTTAATTCCTATATTACTAGCTCTATTGTTACTCCGTAACCATCCCCACCTTTTTATGTTTGAACTTGCTGTAGAACACGGTCTGCACGTCAAAGATCCCAAGTTTGATGGCCAGGCCGAAGTTGCCCAAAAACCGATTGGTTGGGGGAGTCTCTATCCCCATCTTCTCAAAGATGCTCAGGTCGATGGAGAAGAATCGAAACAAGAGGAAAACTACAATGGCCACAAGGGCGAGTGTGATGTACAACATTCCTGTCTAGTAACTCCTGTAATAGAAAAAAATATATAAATTAACTGATTCTGGTAATGAATTTTAGCTACTCAAGTAGAACATTGGTGTTAGTATCCAAACACCAGAACATGTCACATATATTCATTATGTAAAACTAACTTTGTTTTGTAAACAAAATTTGTAAAAGAAAACCCACATCAAATGAGTGGCACATAATACAGTACTAGCTGTAGTATTGTCAACTGGCGCTCAACCTCACTGATAAGGCTATGCAGTTATTTATAGCTTTATGGTCGTTACTGATCTGGGTTTCAACAAGGATATCAAGTAGTAGGTCGTACTATGGCTTTGTAAGTTGCATACTGATGGTGAAATACCTCGATATCTTTCAGTTTGATGAACTTGATATTAATTCTTGTACAGTTTTTGAAAATTTCTTATAGTTAACATAACTATGAGTTTAAAGAAAAGCTGCAACGCGCTGCGGGACAATTGATAAGATGCCTTCAATTACATCATTCAGAAACGCTCGTTTGGTGATCTTTAATTCACGAACCGGTCCTGATTTACGTTTGATCTTCTCCAACCAAAACACGTAACAAACACGTCATTTGAACGAAACCCGTTGATAAACGTAAACTTGCTAGTGACTGTTTTCTCCGTGCTGATTTATTTTACACAACCAACATATTCATACATCAAGTGCGAGCATTACCAGCAGCCTACAGATTGTTTATTTATGTAAGCCCTGCTAGGGGGGGGGGGATACCTAAAATCTACCCTTCTAGGCTTGACTAACTAATCTGTCCGGTCAGTGCAACCGTGGTAGAACCCACAGTGGTTAAACCCTAACCTTAGTCTAAATAATAAGCTACTAAAATAAAACAAAAACTTTTAACAATTTAATAAAATTTATTGCATGGAACCAAAAGTTATAAAAAAAGAATAGATAAAAACTGACACAAAACAGAACCAAACGAAACAAACTTTTTACATCAAACAAAACAATTCATATATAACCAAACACCCAGCCAAGTTGCCCAAGCAACCTCACTCCACGCGTGCGGTGCGCCACGCAGAAACCTGACCCGACCTACATCTCGCCGCGGGTCAAAAAAAGGGAGAAAATCACTCCGAGCGGTCAATTTATACTGACCGCTTCGGACGGAAGGGGACTCCGTGCCGTTCCCCATTGGACCACCATGCACTCCCAGATTCGCAACAAATAAAATAATACAAAAAAATCCATTCACCCGCTCACATTCACCCCTTTTAAAAATCTTACAGTCCCTGTAAGACAAAAAAATACATATAACAATCTTAAAATAAAACATGCACCCATCTCTTACTCCAAGCCTATAAGCTTGAATGCAAAAAAACAATTTACAATAACATTAATCTTGCGTCTCTGTGCTCCCTAAAAAAACTCAAGGCACCAAGATAGTGTTCCCTTTACTGAGGGCTGATCCGCGCTACTAGTCCTGTCGGCCTGTCATCCGGAAGGGCAAGGGGGGAGGGTCAGGCTAGACCCGCCCGCTACTGATGGCACACGTTGCCTGTCCATCCCGTCCACCTGGGTCCACTACACAACACACCGTGTTCTGGTTCTGGCCTCAGCGTAAGACCACCGGTAAAACGTCCGCTTGTTTGGTCCGGAGATGATGCAACCGCCTTGACCCACTGGCTCTCCGACTGTTACCCGCCCCCAACGATCGTGCCTCCGCTTCGACACACCTGTGGGGCGGGTGTCCAGTAGCCCTCTTTGTGGGTCAAGGAATTGACGTCACTGGCCTCTCGTTGGTGGGGAGCGTCCGCTTGGTTGGGCCAGGTGTTGACGCAACCGCCTTGCCCCACTGGCTCTCCGACTGTTACCCGCCCCCAATGATCGTGCCTCCGCTTCAACACACCCGTGGGGCGGGTGTCCAGTAGCCCTCTTTGTGGGTCAAGGAATTGACGTCATAGGCCTCTCGTTGTTCACCGGTCTGCCGTACACACCAGATCCGCGCCACGCCCGTGTGTGTTGTCCAGTCTAGACCACACGAGGCCGCCATCTTCATCACACGCCAGGTCCAGTGCCACACACCGTGCCTTGTCCAGCCACGCACACTGAAGGCTCGTCGAGGCACGTCTCTCCGCCAACCTGACTGGGTGTTTAAACAACAAACAACTCCTACACTAAACAAAAACTAAACACATATGGTTCCATAAAGGGCCTATCAAAAACAAAAAAATTAACTAAGCTACACTAGCCCTAGTAAAAAACAAAAATTTAACTAGACTAAAGCACTGACCCCACTCGTGCTACCAATTTGTAAGCCCTGCTAGGGGGGGGGGGGATACCTAAAATCTACCCTTCTAGGCTTGACTAACTAATCTGTCCGGTCAGTGCAACCGTGGTAGAACCCACAGTGGTTAAACCCTAACCTTAGTCTAAATAATAAGCTACTAAAATAAAACAAAAACTTTTAACAATTTAATAAAATTTATTGCATGGAACCAAAAGTTATAAAAAAAGAATAGATAAAAACTGACACAAAACAGAACCAAACGAAACAAACTTTTTACATCAAACAAAACAATTCATATATAACCAAACACCCAGCCAAGTTGCCCAAGCAACCTCACTCCACGCGTGCGGTGCGCCACGCAGAAACCTGACCCGACCTACATCTCGCCGCGGGTCAAAAAAAGGGAGAAAATCACTCCGAGCGGTCAATTTATACTGACCGCTTCGGACGGAAGGGGACTCCGTGCCGTTCCCCATTGGACCACCATGCACTCCCAGATTCGCAACAAATAAAATAATACAAAAAAATCCATTCACCCGCTCACATTTAAGATCAAATATTGATGATGACAACACGTGGTGGGGTGGTAGAATCATTCAGCTTTAGTGGTGCGGGTTGGGGAGGGGGTGGATTATTAAAAAATATTTTGTGTGCAAGGTCAAAATTGTTGTAACTCCATAAACGGAATAAATCCTACATATAGACGAATCTAAAGTTATTAAACAACTCGTTTGATTTTTATTTTTTTATTTTTATTTTTTCATGTTATTTTTTTTTTATTACACACACAAAGGAGGGGGGGTGGGGCGGACGGACAAACAGACAGATACACCGGCAGACAGGCGGGTGGACAGACAGACAGAAGGGTTAGTTTTAAGCCGAGTGCATTAATTTGTAAAAAAAATAATTAAACAGTCTAAACATGCAAGATCTAGTCTACTACCTACTGAAGTAGATCTAAATACAACGAAGAATCTCAGTGACTGAGCAAACAGTTGTAAAGTTGAAATCAGCCAACACTGCACATACCAACCATACAAACGCACACGTTTATATTCTGCTAGCATGCGGTACGGTGAGGTCACGGTGCACAACGACAGGACGACACGCGCAACACACTTGGCGCATAGCTGTCCTAGTTACGATTGTAGACTTCCGGTCGGCCAATGTTTACATTTGATGTCCTGCATATAAACTAGGACATGGTTGGGTGGAATATCGGAATACGAATTTATTTCAAAGGAATTAAACCCTCAAATAAATAAGATATCTTCTAGTTACGATTTTAAATTTTAAAACAAAGAACAACTACAATTGGAAAGCTTGGACAAATAAATCAGATAACGATAACCTATCCCAGTGGTAATAAATGACTTTAACTAGCGTATCGTATAAATGACCTTTATGTACCTATATTTAAGAGGGGCCTTTATCCTATATTAAGAGACTCTAGATCTCAATGTATGATCTATCAAAACATGTGACATTTGAACAACTGTTGGATCACATTGAACAAAGTAATAACTTGTTAACAGACTTATGGTTTGATAAGGGCTATGATGGGCTATTAACACGGGTGATGTCATATAGTTATTGACATCGGCGGTAAAGTCATATACACGGTCATATTTGTCGGCCAATACAGGATTCTTCAAGCTAAAAATAAGTTCGGACTAATAAACTGAGTGGACAGTAAACAAAATTGAAGCATAAAGTCTCTCACAAATGCATTAGGCCTGGGTGTATATTACTATGACCAAGCGCATATTTTATGTATGCTCTTTATTATGGCACTATCGTATGTGTGCAATTATTTTAACATTTTAATGCATGAGTCAGCCGATACAGTCGACATATTTTACCAGTCGTCTTTTTTCCCCATTTAAAAAAATTGTCAATTATTTTAGTAAACAAACGAATATTCTTTTAAATCTAAACTGTGTGATATGACAGTCAAATCTTCTAAGTAAATGTTTTATTAGATTAGGATTACTAATTTTAAAAAGTGTTTTGTAATATGAACCTTCTAACAACCCACCGCGTTGATTCATCGATTACCCATATTGCTTTTAGCTAAATAAAATAGAATGTGTCTTATCCTTATAAGGCAGCTTTATAAAATCATATTGCACACACTATTCTTAAAAACCTCGGGTCTAATAAAATTCCCGTCTGCCATATAGGGCAAACACGTGGAATCAGGTCATAGTTGGATCGATGCACTTCTGTGTGCAGATAAGTGACTCGCAGGCAGGTGTGTCGTGATCCGTGGCCTACATCAGCCTGGTGACACAACATACTGCAACAGTTCACATATAAATACAGGCCTGGCCCGTGTGTTTCAATCTACAGCCAACTGTAACATCAGCACACCGTGTTTATAGACCAGCCAACTGTAACATCAGCACACCGTGTTTACAGTCCTGCTCACTGAGGCGTGTGATCAGATTCTAGTCAGGTGAACGTGTCCCATTAGCACAGTCAGCATCAGCTCAACCTGATTCTACTCACACTCGGTATGTATTAGAATGTGTGGAGGATGGGGAACATTAAATATGTCTTGGACGATATTTTTGTTAATGTCGTTGCATATTACCCAAAAGAAAGTAAAATAAGTCGGACACAAAATGAATACAGATATATAGACTATGTAATCCATGACATTTAATATTTGATGTTGCTTGAATTGACGCGACCATATATAGCCTGGAAATGGTGTATGAAAGCCTAAATGTTCGATTTTGTTGAACTTTACTTAAGATTTGATGCATTTGATAGTTTTAGTATTTTCGGCAATTAACACAATTTTGAAAAAGGCAAAACAATTTTGTTGTTTACATTTTATCACACAAAATGACAACTATCAAGGCTGAACTAGGTCTCGTGGTTTAAAAAAAAAAAAAAACTTTATTTCAAAATTGTATTTTGAGTACACTTTACTATGAGTTTTTTTTTTTTTTAATGGGATTTTCAGAATAACGATCACTTACGAAAGTGAAACTTCAACTTATAACTTAGACATGATGAAAATAAATAGAAATGTGGCATTAAACCTAAAAATGTATCAAGTTCTCTGGATGTGCTGCTTTTATAACATTGATTCTAAAAAATTTAATTTCTAAATTATTTTCAGGGTTTAGTTTTTTTTACGGATGCTTTTTTTGGCATAATTTTAAAAAAAAACGCATCTTTTTATCAATATCAACAATAATGATCGAACCCAACTCGTCAAACCTACTGCTTCCATTAACGCAACAAATTTAATTACATCAATCCAATATTTGAGATAATCTTCATTTTTGTATCGATGACATTTCCATCATTAAGTTGTGGATTCTAAATAATTTTTAAAAAATGTAATAGTTAAACACAGAACATGAACATCGGACATTATATCTTACATTGGTAAAAATGTCTATGTAACATCTAGGTAGATCTTAACCCCGCCAATAGTCGTTAACTTATTGGCTTAGGTTTATGAAAAAACATAGCAAAATGTAGTGTGATTGGAGGCTAACGTAAATAAGCGCATGTTTACCTTCCAATGTAAAGCCTATTTTAACCCTCCATAAACTATGTGGTGTGTTGTGCATGTTGCACTGATGGTGGGCACCCGGTGACTTTAGAATAACTACAGCTAATGGTGGGCACCCGGTGACTTTAGAATAACTACAGCTAATGGTGGGCACCCGGTGACTTTAGAATAACTACAGCTGATGGTGGGCACCCGGTGACTTTAGAATAACTACAGCTAATGGTGGGCACCCGGTGACTTTAGAATAACTACAGCTAATGGTGGGCACCCGGTGACTTTAGAATAACTACAGCTGATGGTGGGCACCCGGTGACTTTAGAATAACTACAGCTGATGGTGGGCACCCGGTGACTTTATCTAGAACAACTAGATGGTGGGCACCCGGTGACTTTATCTAGAACAACTAGATGGTGGGCACCCGGTGACTTTAGAATAACTACAGCTGATGGTGGGCACCCGGTGACTTTAGAATAACTACAGCTGATGGTGGGCACCCGGTGACTTTATCTAGAACAACTACAGCTGATGGTGGGCACCCGGTGACTTTATCTAGAACAACTACATGGTGATGGTGGGCACCCGGTGACTTTATCTAGAACAACTAGATGGTGGGCACCCGGTGACTTTATCTAGAACAACTACATGGTGATGGTGGGCACCCGGTGACTTTATCTAGAACAACTAGATGGTGGGCACCCGCTGACTTTATCTAGAACAACTACATGGTGATGGTGGGCACCCGGTGACTTTATCTAGAACAACTAGATGGTGGGCACCCGGTGACTTTATCTAGAACAACTACAGCTGATGGTGGGCACCCGGTGACTTTATCTAGAACAACTACAGCTGATTGTGGGCACCCGGTGACTTTATCTAGAACAACTAGATGGTGGGCACCCGGTGACTTTATCTAGAACAGCTACATGGTGGGCACCCGGTGACTTTATCTAGAACAGCTACAGCTGATGGTGGGCACCCGGTGACTTTATCTAGAACAACTAGATGGTGGGCACCCGGTGACTTTATCTAGAACAACTAGATGGTGGGCACCCGGTGACTTTATCTAGAACAACTAGATGGTGGGCACCCGGTGACTTTATCTAGAACAGCTACAGCTGATGGTGGGCACCCGGTGACTTTATCTAGAACAACTAGATGGTGGGCACCCGGTGACTTTATCTAGAACAACTAGATGGTGGGCACCCGGTGACTTTATCTAGAACAACTACATGGTGATGGTGGGCACCCGGTGACTTTATCTAGAACAGCTAGATGGTAGGCACCCGCTGACTTTATCTAGAACAACTAGATGGTGGGCACCCGGTGACTTTATCTAGAACAACTACAGCTGATGGTGGGCACCCGGTGACTTTATCTAGAACAACTAGATGGTGGGCACCCGGTGACTTTATCTAGAACAACTACATGGTGATGGTGGGCACCCGGTGACTTTATCTAGAACAACTACATGGTGATGGTGGGCACCCGGTGACTTTATCTAGAACAACTAGATGGTGGGCACCCGGTGACTTTATCTAGAACAACTACAGCTGATGGTGGGCACCCGGTGACTTTATCTAGAACAACTAGATGGTGGGCACCCGGTGACTTTATCTAGAACAACTAGATGGTGGGCACCCGGTGACTTTATCTAGAACAACTAGATGGTGGGCACCCGGTGACTTTATCTAGAACAACTAGATGGTGGGCACCCGGTGACTTTATCTAGAACAACTACAGCTGATGGTGGGCACCCGGTGACTTTATCTAGAACAACTAGATGGTGGGCACCCGGTGACTTTATCTAGAACAACTAGATGGTGGGCACCCGGTGACTTTATCTAGAACAACTACATGGTGATGGTGGGCACCCGGTGACTTTATCTAGAACAACTAGATGGTGGGCACCCGGTGACTTTATCTAGAACAACTAGATGGTGGGCACCCGGTGACTTTATCTAGAACAACTAGATGGTGGGCACCCGGTGACTTTATCTAGAACAACTACATGGTGATGGTGGGCACCCGGTGACTTTATCTAGAACAGCAAACAACCTGCTCAAGTTACTTTTACCACTGTCACGTGACGTTCTAAGACCTACTTCCTGCTGCCTGGACTTGGCCAAACGACTTCTTAAAACAAACATTTGCAGATACCCACCAGATGGACGGGAGTTTATCTTTATCTGGAGTGTTTCCCGGCTCCCCCTCCCCCTTATACCCATTCTCTTTCAACAACTATAAATAATTAAAATAGTATTTTATTTTATTTACGCTGTTTGTACATATATAATTACATAATTACGTAATTGCACACAGATATATATGTATATATATATATATATATATATATATATATATATATATATATATATATATATATATATATATATATATATATAAATATATGTATATATTTATATATATATATATATATATATATATATATATATATGTATATATATATGAGTGTTTATAACGTTTGTTTTAAATTGATAATTAGGGTTTTTTAAAAATGTTCTTTCTTTTTTACAGAAAATGCTGACAACTCTAGCAATAATTGCCGCCATATTGGCCCTCCTGGCTTATTTGTTTGTACGTTACATGTCAGCCACACACAACACGTTTAAAAAGATGGGAATAGACAACCCCCCGCCCAACCCCATCATAGGGAACTTTGGTCAAGCTTTCAAGTACGGAGTGTTTGAAGTCCAAAAGGTTTTCTATCAACAGTACCGCGATAAAAAGGTTTGTGTTAAAACTACTATTTTTACAGATGGGTTTTTTAAAATCTTTTTACAAAATCTATTCCAGTAAATAATTATTATATTTGTTCTTATTGTGTAAACGAAAACTCTTTTATATAGGCTTAAGTCATGTTTGCCTTAAAATACCCTAATCTTAACATGGAAATATGCTCTAATTTATCATCAGGTATACGGATGGTACGACTCTAGAAGGCCAACTATGATCGTCAAAGATCTTGATATGGTCAAAGATATATTTGTGAAAAATTTTAATTGTTTCGTTGATCGCCACACTCTGTTTGATATTGATCCACCTTTTAGCGATAATCTCCTCAACCTAAAGGGTGAGCACTGGAAACATGTCAGAAACATCGTGACACCAACATTCAGTTCAAGCAGACTCAAGAAAATGGCGCATCATATTGAAAGAAATACGAAGATAATGTTAGAAAATCTTCAGGCTCTACAAGAATCTGGCACAGAAGTTGAGGCTAGAGATTTTTTATCTGCCTTCACTCTTGACGTCATAGCCAGCACCGGTTTTGGGTTAGAGATTAACACACTCAAAAACCCAAACAATCCTTTCGCAACTGAGGCCAAAAAAGTACTGAATCCCAATCCAGCTTTGTTTGTTATGATTTTACTGATTCCATCTCTAACCAAATTATTTTCACGACTTGGCCTCTCCATACTACCACAAAAATCCTTTGAATATTTCGTCAAAGTTGTGGAGGCGGCAATAGAGCAAAGAAAGAGAGAAGGGTTAGAAGGGAAAGTCAACGATTTTCTAGATCTGCTGATGAACGCCGAGAAAGAAACGGGAGAACCCAACAAAGAATTGACAAGATCAGAAATTTATGTAAGTGTTAATTTTAGAGGTGCATATAATTTTTTATTTAATAAAACATTAAGGACACTATAGTTAATAGCCTATTTCAGATCAAATGTAGTTAAACCATTGCCTAGTTACAAATTTAGCATTGGTATTTAAAGCTAGCACTGTTGTGGTCATCACTACACTCACTGTAAGACATAGATAAGATGTTTGAGATGGACTTGACGTCCTGTAGATGCTGATGGTGATGTTTATTATGTCAGTGGTTAAAGAACATTCTGATTGTTAATTTACCATCACTGGCCTACGTGGTTCCTTTAACGAAACAAAATATTGAACAAACTTTGATTTTTTTTTCTTTATTTTCAGGCTCAAGCTATTGTACTCATCTTTGCCGGGTACGACACTGTGGCGACAGTTCTGTCCTTCACCTTGTTCTTCATCGCCATGCACCCAGACTGCTGCAAACGTGTGCAGGAAGAGATAGACGAAAAATGTGGTCAAACCTTACCTAATTACGATAACGTCCAGTCTTTAACTTACCTCGACATGTGCATCAATGAATCGATGAGAATTGTGCCTCCAGGAATCTTTATCAACCGCGTGTGTGTGCAGGAGACGGAAGTCCACGGCGTGAAGTTCCCCAAGGACATGGTCGTTGTCGTGCCAATCTACGCTTTCCACACCGACCCGGAAATCTGGCCGGAACCGGACAAATTTGACCCAGAGAGATTTACGCCAGAAAACAAAGAATCTCGCCATCCATATGCGCATCTTCCTTTCGGCCAAGGACCAAGAAATTGTATTGGCATGAGGCTGGCTCTCCTGGAGATAAAAATAGCCTTAGCTACAATCTTTCAGAAGTTTACACCAACACGATGCAGTAAATCTGTCTACCCGATCCAGCTGAATAAAATTCAGCCAAGAGCAAATGACGGCCTGTGGCTCAAGTTTAACACCAGGAAATAAACCAGTTATTTGATAAGAAACAAACTTAGAGATCAGTATAGTCGCTTGTTCGTTGTTTTATAAAATTTTATTCTTGTTGATTCCTGCCTCGCTTTATAGCGCCTAAATCTAGAGCGGCTGGACATGGAGGTGACCAAACTGTAGCTTCTAATGCCGAGGTAACTGAAAAAGGTGAACTGTACTTACCTGCTTCATAGATCGTAAGGATTGAATGGTACTTTTTTTACTAGCTTTACAGAGATTTAACATTTAATTTGACTCTAATAACATGGGGGAAAAACAGTTACTGAAAGCTCAGACAATTCTTTACAATTTTGAAAATGATAAACCACAAAAGGAAATAAACATTTACCTAATAATGGTGTCAGTAAAACAAAATGTTCATAACGAAAATCTTACCTGGAGTCTAAATAATTATTTTTGATATTTTGTTCATGCAGTGTTTGATAGTAATTCATCATCCCTCGGATTTTTGCATACCCTGTTAAATTACCTTGATTGACAGTGCACTCTTATGTGTTTCTATTGATTTAGTGTATGTGTGTTGAAAAACTCCTTGTAAACAAGTCATTGATTTTTCAAACGCTTCGCGAGTTTACATAACGTCACATTAAATGTCTAATGTACTGTACCAAAGGCTGTTTGAATTTACATGTATTGACAAACCACAACGTTTTATATTATGTTTTTATAGCTTTAAAAAAGAATGTTAACATGAATTAATAATGAACGGATTAATATTATATATATATATATATATATATATATATATATATATATATATATATATATAGCAGTATATAATTAAAAAGCCTACTTTTGTGAACAGAGTGTTGTTGTGTGTGTTAGTACTTGAGTGATGTGTTTTCTCTTGCTGACATAAAATAACGTCATTGTAAATGTCACTAGAAGCACAAAACAGTCCGAACTTGGAAGATGCACACACAGCTTATACCTATACAAAACAACGTCAGACTTGTCTATACACATATTTAGTAAAGCCTTGCATCATGGCCGCTACAGTTTTATTGATGAGCACCGACCTGCTGTTCTGCTTGTGAACCATAAACAACTCGTCCCTTTGATCTGGCTGGTGACGTACACATTGACGGATGCTGGGAAATGTGTAAATTGATACATAAATGTCGTCCTAATCCCACAAGCTGTAAGCAAAACGATTTTCTCAGCGCCTCACTTTAAAAATGAGCATCAGTCTGAGCTCCTCAGGTTAGATAACTCTGTTGTGACCGACCATGTACAAGCTGGGGTTGTTGTTACTTGTAGTCGTGGGCGGTGTTTCTGTTTCAGCTACAAGTGAGATATTGTGATGTAATTTTATATTTGTACATAGATAAGGAGATATTGTCATGTAATTTTATATTCGTACATATATAGTGAGATATTGTAACATAATTTCATATGTGTACCAAGATAGTGAGATATTGTAGCATAATTTCATGTGCACATAGATAGTGAGATATTGTAGCATAGGCCTACTTTTATTTGTGTACCAAGATAGTGAGATATTGCAGTTTCACTTTATATTTGAACCACGATATATAGATATTATAATATACTTTTATACATGTACGTAGTTAGAAAACAATCACATATACATGTACATAAATAGTGAGATAGTCAAGTATACTCTTATATATTTACATAGACAATGAGATATTTGAGATTACTCTCATATAAGTAGGCTAGATAACTTATTAATAGTAGTTGTGTTGTAGTCTATTTGTAGATCAAAATAAATCTCAAGCAACAACTTACTTGTCGGATGATATACTATGATGTATAATATTAATATTAAAAAATTATTATTTAAAAAAAAATGATGATCAAGTACAATATTCATTTTAGTATTTCTGATGCATACTGTTGTGTATAGATCTATATTACCATGCAAAAGAGGACGTATTTCCCAGAACTTAACTTGATTTTCAGACTGTGGCCCCAACACCCTGGACAAATTTGTTTCCATTCTCTGTGGCAACTACAGTAATTTAGGGGACATCAAGGAGGATGTTAGGAACAGATCACATGACCATATTCAGATAGAATTTGTGCCAGTTAACATTCCAGCATTGTACCCAGTAAGACAATATAATTTGTGCTAGTTTACATTCTAGCATTGTACCCAGTAAGAAAATAGAATTCGGGTTAATTAACATCTAGCATTCAAGCCAATGCGATAATTCAATTAGTACCATTTAATTGTACCCAGTAAAAAACAATGGAATTCGGACAAATTTACATTCCAGCATTGTATTTGTGCTCTGACAATTTAGGCATAGAAAGGCGTAAATATTTAGTTTTACATCTTCTTTAACTAAATGAAGATTAGAAATACTTCTAATCTGTAAGCTGCTGATGTGGCTAGTATCCTAATATATAAAAGCCCATGTGCGCGCTTCTCTCTGTCCGCAATATTTTTGGCTAGTCGTCAGCATGTTAAGCGATATATGTAGAACTTAACGAACTTTTGTTGAACATAATATTGTGGACGGTATAAATGTATAAACTAAATTTTATTTAAAGAAGGAAAATAGAAATAAAGGCATATTCGAATGTAGAAACAGACTTCTAACTAAAACATTTGTTGTCGTGACAAGAACGCAATAAACAATGACGTCACATGAGACAAGTTTAACTAAGACTAAGGAAAGAACAAAAAACTAATGGCGTCATCTTCCAATTTTTACTTTCTCGTAGATTCGAAGTAGGCCCTATAGAGAAAGTCTTCAAATCGTGCACACAAAAAAAATCGAGATTTTTTTCAAATCTCGACATTTTACACCTACCTAAGTTGGAAAAATCTTATCCGTATGTCTGTGTGTGTGTGTATGTGTGTGTCTGTAAACACGATAACTTGAGTACCCTTACAGCTAGGTTAATGAAATTTCATAAATAAGTATTATATCAAAATCGTAGATCCAATAAACATTTGAGCGATTTCCGATAACCGGAAGTGGAACTTTTTCTACTTCGAAATTTTCAAAAGCCTATCTTCTTCTTCTTCGTTCTTAATTTTAGTATTAGAAGAGATCCCCTCCAACACAATTAAGGATACGAGTCAACTGGTTATGCGTAGTGGCGGAACTAGAAAAAAAGGGCCACCCCGAAAAAAAATGTATATATATATATATATATATATATATATATATATATATATATATATATATATATATATATATATATATATATATATATATATATATAAACTTATAATACGAACATAGGATACTCCTTTCTGGCCTTTTCGGGTTTTGAAAAAATGTTGTTTTTTTTTTTATTTAAACAAATTACAACATCATGTCCTGTGTATAAGTGAAAATCTGTTATAAGACCTCTTAACCTCTAGTCGGTAAAAAGAATATAAAACATGGAAGCTTTGTATAAGTAATGTTTATTTTTATGTTGTTTTTTTTTTCTATTTATCTTATTAATTTTAAATATATTTCCTTTTTATACAATGTTATTCTTTAGAAAGTACTTTATAAAAAAAAAATAACAGTTAAGAGAAGCAATTGTTTTCATTTGTTTAGTACAAATCTGTTAAAAGGAGCTTATGGGCACCCCTATTTGACTATTAAAAAAAGGGAAATAAGTCACGGAACGTTTGCTTATCTTTGCTAAGTTTGATTGTAGGAGAAATAGGACTCGGCTTTCACAGTGGTTTAAAAACAAAGGGAAAAAGAATATACAAGAGCGTGAGTTGGTGTCTATAGAATAAAGATAATCCAACCGCAGCTACGGTAATCTGTTTTTTACAAAACAACCATCAAGTCGGAAATGCAAGAAAATTAATTTTTTTTACTAAAAAAAATTTATTATGGCCGGCTGTGGGCCACTAAATGGCAACCATGAGCTTTACCGACCCGACCACGCCGATCCTTAAAAGCCTATAACTTGAAAACTATTTCAGATAGATAAATGAAATTTCAAATATAAGAAAAAGATCTAATTATCTGCCTTCTTTTAAATGTTGAGTAATTTCCGTTGACAGGAAGAAGTAATTTTCGCTATATCATATTTCTCAAAAAAAAAATCGCATGTGAATTTATAAAGTACTAATAATATTCCGCACTATTATACACATTTTGCTTGGCGTTTACTTGGTGCGCAATTCTTGTTTCTGTGAGATTCTATTCTATTTTAAAAAGTTTAATTAATTAAAAATGGATTAAAACATCTTGTCTATTTCCCAAGTTACCATCCCCTGTTGTTTTATGTAAGAATATTCGAGAAAGTTTAGGGGAGATCACTCCTGGTTTATTTAATATAAAGAAATGAACTATTTCATTCAAATTTGATTTAGATCTAATTTCCAATTAGACGCACCGCTATGAAATGTATACAATACAATTTTCTCGGCCTAAACTTATGAAATAAATTTACTTTATCTATTTGGATTCTAGATGTAGAGCTACCTAAAAACTAGACTTAGATTCTAGATCTAGAATCTATCTAGATCTAAAATCTATTCCAATATGAGTTTCTATATTAAACAATTTTTGGCCGTAATTTTATATAAATCTGTGTTTGTTTAGCTGTGGAATTGGCGAATCTGGGATAAAATTTAATTTGAAATAATAGGGTCTATTCGCTTAAGTTGAGTTTTGACGTACCCCACATATTCTGCATAACATCTATAGTGCCTAAATAGCTGAGATGATAGTGTAATTGATACCATGCGAAAAGTACGGGTTCGATACACACCAAGTCAATCTTAAATTTTATTTATTTTTTCAATTTTTTTAAAGATGTGAATGATAAAGTTGCCTATGGGGACTTGGCAGGACATGAGGCAGGTGAACTAGAGTTCAACTGTGTCTGTCTCCTCACCATTTGAAGGGAGAGTGTGGTCAGACCCTCGTTAAGCCGAAATAGTATTTTTTAAAGACAAAAGCAACATAACTACAATTCAACAGCCGTGTTTTTAACGTAATCATTTAAATGTCTTAATTTTAAGTCTCTTAGTCAGCGTCTGCATTTAATATGGTATTGTGTTGACTAATACTGCATATAATTTGGTTTCAACTTTTCTAATTGGTATTGGTAGTCTCTATTTTTTTAAACAAGTATAAACATAGAGATTACACAAAACAAAACTTTTACATAATCTTAACAATGTTTTATTTCAATGCTCCTGATCAATTAAATGTTTCTTTTCCTAAGTTTCTGATAATGACTTTTTTTAAAAGCCGAATTACAATTCATTTCATTACTCACTTTCCGTAGATAAATACATTTTCTTCGGGCATCTCTACCGTTTCTTCTCCTTTCACCTCCGAACGAAATTGAAAAAGTATCCACTACCCCAACCCCCTCCCCACACACACACTCACACACATTCCCCACACCCTCCCCCGGACAGTTTTAAATGCCGCTCCCCGAGATAAATATCTAAAAGAAAAACCGGGTAGCCTATTTGTAAAGAAAAGAGAGCTAAAATTCACCGATGGCTAGTGTATAAGAAAACTTAAAGCACATACTGTACTTGCAGAATGTAGGGTGTCTGATAATTGTCACAGGCATTGACAACAAACATAGGCCTCAAAATACCGGGACTATGTCCGCTGCCGTCCCAACCACCTAACGGGCGAAATAAAAACAAAATCATTTATAAACAAAATATAATACTCTAACCAGTGTCCGCCTCTACCCCCCACCCCCCTTTATCGAGAGAAACAAAATATCTGAAAGAAACTATGATCTGCATAAAAATATATATCATTTTAAGGTTGAAGCGTTTTTTATCAAAGTAATTATAACACCTTATTATCTACATTACATACCAATGATGTGAATAACAAGTGAAATAAATGACAGGCCTCTACACTGTACCACTCATTCAGACGTAACAGCGTCATCATCAGACAACACATCTGGGTCTGTAGTCTCAACACATTCAGCTATGTGGTGTGTCAGCCATACAACATCACAGTGCCCGTGCTCAATCAGTGAGTACAAAACATGGTGTGAGGTTTGCAACTGGCTTGATCAAATTTATTTCATCTTGTTCCACACCATCCACTATCTAGAGCAGGGGTCTCCAAACTTTTCAGTCCGAGGGCCGCATTAACTATCAAATTTCAGTTCGGGGGCCAGATTCTTCCAGGTATGTCGTGATTTTTCTGAGCAAAGTTCCTCAGCCATCACCAACAAATGTTTTTTCCGTGGACAAAAAGATCTCCGCGGGCCGGATGAGAGGACCTCGCGGGCCGCATCCGGCCCACGGGCCGTAGTTTGGAGACCCCTGATCTAGAGCATACCTTTTCGTCATTGCTGTTCTTTTTGTTCACTTTCAACATCAAAAAACTGTTTACAGAGTACCGTTTTTACTAGTCTCTTTCCCATAATTTAACTTCAGCATCATGCAGTGTTTACCATAATGTCCGTTCTCTCATAGTTCCCTTAGAAAATAATAAGATCACCGCACTGGTTCCCCTTAGAAAATAATAATGAGATCACCGTGCTGGTTCCCCTTAGCAAATAATGTCTCCATGTGTCTCCCTCCCCAGGGATGGTGAGATCGACTACAATGCGGTGTCTGACCTCGACTACACTGTGCTAGATACCAACATGGCTTGTACCATTACATGGAGGACGGTGGAGTTCAACTTATTCTTCGGCTTCTGGCCAGACTGCACCAATTATTACGGAGGGGTAACTATGGAGGCGACAACTCTGTCTGCTGGGCATTTCTTCTTATACTTCTTCTTCCTGCCTATCCCGTGATCTAGATGTACTGTTAGTACGATCGCCACTACTTTCCTTCTGATCGTTCTCCACTCCACTCTTTATTCCGCCATCCTCGCTGAGGTGTTTTTGTATCTAACAAGAAATAGAAGTGATACAACGTTTCTTGTTTACCGCTTACGATGATAACATATTTTCAGCCAATCGCTTCCTATGGAGTCCACCTTAGCTGTAACGCCATATCATCCGTGACGTATCTGGACCTGTTCCCAGAAAAATCTAACAACGCTCCCTACATTGTGTGGAAAGTTGACAGGTACTGCGTGCTTAGTAGACACGAAATATTCTGACTTATTCTTCGTCGTCATTCTTTAAATGTATTATTGGAAATGCTTCATCCAATACCATTAAGTATTATTTTTTGAGATTTTTAGACAATTGTTTTCTTTATGTTAGTTGTCCTCGATGAGATAATTGTTTCACTATTTAAGCTGCCCTCGTTAAGATATTTTGTTTTCTATTTTACCTGGCCTAATAACATTGTGTGGTCTATTTTGGCTGACCTAAATAACATTGTGTGTTCTAATTTAGCTGCCCAAAATAATATTGCGTGGTCTATTTTAGATGCCCTAAATAACATTGTGTGTTCTATTTTAGCTGCCCAAAATAATATTGCGTGGTATACTTTAGCTGCCCTAAATAACATTGTGTGTTCTATTTTAGCTGCCCAAAATAATATCGCGTGGTCAATTTTAGCTGCCCTAAATAACATTGTGTGTTCTATTTTAGCTGCCCAAAATAATATTGCGTGGTCTATTTTAGCTGCCCTAAATAACATTGTGTGTTCTATTTTAGCTGCCCTTCAATGAACAACCACACAACTGAAGATGACTATAACAAGCTGTGCAGTTGCTGAAATCTCTTCATCAAGCTCAGACATTAATTTTATCTTTATCCAATGCAGCGTCAAACACATGTCTTTTTGCTCTTTTGGTTGTCTTGATCATTTTTTTCTTTAGTGTCAGATGTATGCTTTCTTAATTAATTGTAACTGTTCTCTGCTTATTTGAAATCTTCCAATATGTTCTTTATAAAGCCCCAGTCTTAACTGAAAAGTTGCACATATTTGTTTTTAACTTATTTGCTTTTACAACAACAACAAAATATTTGGATGATTCGTAAACGACTTCTGCCGTCATGCATTCACCCCAGGCTAACAACCGTTTAGCCTGCTAACATTTCTGACCAATATGGAGTAGTTTTGATTAGAATTAGTAGGTAACAGTTAACATATCTAGTGGTGTTTTCGAATATTTATGTGTGACAACTATATTCGTGACCAATGCCACAAGAGGGAAAAGAGATAATAAACATCCACAAGTACTGATGTTTTCGTAACGAATTAGATCTTCTAGTCATAAATGTGTATGTTGTTTGTGTATGCCCTCAATTTAAACAGGAAGCCGTCGACTTCAGAAACAGCACATGACACAACCTATTATAAAAAAATTTAATAAAAATAAAACGGGAGTGATCTCCCCTAAACTTTCTCGAATATTCTTATATGAAACAACAGGGGATAGCAACTTGGGATATAGACATGATTTTTAATCCATTTTAATTACCTAAACTTTTTAAAATAGAATAAAATCTCGTAGAAAAAATAATTGCACACCAAGTGAACGCCATATAAAATATGCATAATAATGCGGAATATTATTAGTACTTTATAAATTCACATGCGTTTTTTTTGAGAAATCGGAAATAGCGAAAATTACTACTTCCGTTCAAAATTTATAAGGAGGCAGGGAATTAGATCTTTTACTTACATGTGAAATTTAATTTTTCTATCTAAAATAGTACTCAAGTTATAGGCTTTTGAAAAATTCAAAGTAGAAAAAGTTCCACTTCCGGTTATCGGAAATCGCTCAAAATTTGCTACGGATCTACGACTTTAATATAATACTTATATATCGAATTTCATCAATCTAGCTGTAACGGTTCTCAAGTTATGGTGTTTACAGACACACGCACAGATACACACACAGACACACACACACACACACACAGACATACGGACAAGTTTGTTAAACTGTATTTTTTCCGACTCAGGGAGCTGTAAAACGTCGAGATTTGCAAAAATCTCGATTTTTTTTTTAAACGATTACGAGCCTTTCTCTATACTTCGTATATACGAGAAAGTAATAATTTGTACATGCAGTATTTTAAACATGATGACATTGTGTTGCTAATATTTACAGTCAGAAATATCTTTTGTTCACGAGATTTATTTTTATCATCAAGGAATAATTTACGATTGATGTTAGGTTTGATTTTCGTGTAAAATCAACCTTAGATTAAATATGTATTGATTTCATCATTTTTAACTAAGAGCCAATGACGTAACAGTCAATAATAATGATGTGTGTTGTGTGACCACTATTAAGATCACTATAATGACAGCTTGAGAGGCCATTATGTTGTTATGGTATTAAGACAACACTAATGTGTAATGTCATAAATTGTTTTTACATTATTATATATTGTAATCAGAGTACATCTTATGAAACTTATAAACAACTGTTGTTAAAAAGAACTAGGATGCGACTAGGAAGTCTTTTGATAAAAATGTGAAGACTTAAAACGTAGCTTGGTGAGTCTACTGGTATACATTTTATTTTGTAAAACTAGTTTTTTATTAGGATTTTCACACTCTTGTGGTGTGGCAATTAAATCTGCAGATTAGAGTAAGTCAGAGGCGTAGCTTATGGAGAGACCGAGACGGGATTTTTAAGTCATGTTGCTTGGTAAAGTAAATAACCATAGGATAATATCAGAGCAGAGAAAGCAGCTTTAAAACATGCAGCAAATCTTCTGTAAGATCATCCTGAATCCCCCCAAATAAACATATTCTTTTACAGATGCTAAATTGTTCATGCAGTCTCTAAAAAATCACTCAGGACAGCCTTTGAAAGACTAAACAATGCCTGCAGCATGACTGTGCTGCTGTGGATCCTGGCCACCTCCAGATAGAAAATTACACAAAAGACAACGGATTCTATAAATTAACATGCAAAGATAACACATTATCTTCAGACTCAAAGCAGGCCACAACAGACTGAAACAACATGTTTAAAAAATTAGAAGTTGGTCATGGCAAAACTTGCCCTTGTGGCACGGCCTCGTAGAATGCAGGGCAGATAAACAAATAATTGTTTTCACTTCTGGAATTTTAAGCACATCAAATTTGAAGTTACAAAGTGTCATGCTGGATTTAAAAGATAATGTTCTGATGACATTTGTTTGCTATGTAGCTGCGTCTGTATTAAAGGAAATAAGACTGTCAAACCTGAATGGGGAAAGTAGTAAAAAAAAGTCGTTTCTTAAGTAAGGCCAGAAAATTATCTAAAACTTCAAAGATTGATAGTTGGGAAGTTTTAGGAAGTGAAACAGCAGGATAGACTTGACATTAGGCGAAATTTCTTACTCAACCAGGATAAAAAAATATCACGAACTGAAGATCTATAAAGTCCTTCCTCAGAGAGAAGGTAACAAACATCACAGGATTTTTGTCAAATTTATACAGATTACTACAGCAGAAGTAGAACTATTGTTAGGGAAATAATTAAAAATTAAATATGACATCAGGAAAACTGTTTAAGTTAGAACACATTTACAATTTGGAGATTAAGATTTTATCATTTTGTTGTGAATTTATTTTATTTACTAAATGAGTGCATCTTATATTTACGGGTTATTTTGTATTTTTACTTTCTCGTATATACGTAGTATAGAGAAAGTATTGTAATCGTGCAAAAAAAAAAAATCGAGATTTTTACAAATCTCGACGTTTTACACCTCACTGATACGGAAAAACATAATTTTGCAATCTTGTCCGTATGTCTGTGTGTGTGTGTGTCTGTCTGTCTGTCTGTCTGTCCGTGTGTAAACACGATAACTTGAGTACCGTTACAGCTAGGTTGATGAAATTTCATATATAAGTATTTTATCAAAATCGTAGATCCGTATCAACTTTTGAGCGATTTCCGATAACCGGAAGTGGTACTTTTCCTACTTTGAATTTTTCAAAAGCCTATAACTTGAGTACTATTTCAGATAGATAAATGAAATTTCACATGTAAGTAAAAGATCTAATTCTCTACCTTCTGTTAAATTTTGAGTAATTTCCGTTGACTGGAAGTAGTAATTTACGCTACTTCCGATTTCTCAAAAAACTAATGTAAATTTTTAAAGTACTAATAATATTGCGCACTATTATACGCGTTTTTATTCGGCGTTTGCTTGGTGCGCAATGTTTTTTTTTATGAGATTCTATTCTATTTTTAAAAGTTTAAGTATTTAAAATGGATTAAAAATCATAACTATATCCCCAGTTACCATCCCCTGTTGTTTTATGTAAGAATATTCGAGAAAGTTTAGGGGAGATCACTCCCGGTTTATTTTACAACAAAAATAAACATGAACTCGAATTTTATTTTGCAAAATTTTAATGTTTATTATTTCATTTGTACATTTTACATTGAAAATATTAAGGTCTTCTATACAATGATGTAAATTGTATTGAAATATATTGATTAATTTTGTAGGATTTTAAAAAAATTATATGAAATTTCTAGTTTTTTTTTTTAATATGACCTTCTAAAATAATTTTCATTAAATAGGTAATGGCTTTTAGGCTTTTATATGAATAAATTTAAAAAATTCATCTGTCTTGAAAAACTTGGGCTTGTTTCTTGTGTAGCTGTCTGCATGTTAAATGAATTTGAACGTTTCATCTTACTTTTAAAAAATAAGCCTGTATCTCAAATAGACACTTGATGGTTGAAAAGCTAACATAAGATTTTTAAAATTCATAACTTTATTAAAAATTGAGATACAACCCTACATTTGGTGTTTCTGTTGCGATCAAAGACATCTCTGAAAATTTTATTTTGAATACATAATAGTATTAATAGTAATCTACATTTTCTGTAGAGCGTCTAAGTCAAAACAACAGCTTTTTAAAGTAATAAGAATATGTGTATATAATTATATATATATATATATATATATATATATATATATATATATATATATATATATATATATATATATATATATATATATATATATATATATATAGGCAACAATATTTAAAAGTCCCAAGCACGTAGAAGACCCACCAGTCTGGAAATAAAATTACCCTACAACCGACCCAAACGGTAGCTCGGATCAGTTTTAAAACTGCAGGGGAGATATTTGCATTAATCATGAGATTACTAAATTTAAATACCTCTCTAGTTTGACCAGAAAAACGAACATTCAGGTGCCTCTAGTTTGACCAGAAAAACGAACATTGAGGTGCCTCTAGTTTGATCAGAAAAACTTAAACGAACATTGGTCACTGTAGAACAAGTCAGCTCCGGCAGACGCTGATCTCTATTTACTCTCGTTAAAACCACTTGGAGTGTGTTATCTTGTCTACAGATGTTCTGCTCATAGAGCACCCTGTAGCCCTCCACAATGACATTACTAGTGGTAGAACTAGCGTGACGCCAAGCTTAGGTTTGACTTCAACCTCCATTCAGCTCTCACTCGACTCCCTACTCACCCCCATCACTCCTCAGAATTTTTAATGCCCCAGCCCCTCCCAAAAAAATATCTGAAAGAAACAACACTAGACTTGCCTGTATGTACATATTTGTTAAGCCACTGCTTTATAGAAGGGGAGCTGCAATTTAAAAAAAAAATTAATGCTCACTTAAACTGCCTGCCCATGTGCTTGCTAATCATCCGTTTGATCTGACTGCTGATGTAAACATTGATGGCTCGTTAACAATGTGTACACTGCTTCATAAATGTCATGTCCCCATAAACTAAGCTGAAAACTAAATCACTTTCTTCACACCTCCCTTTAGAATGAGCGTCAGTCTGAGCTCCTCAGGTTAGATAACTCTGTGGTGACCGACCATGTACAAGCTGGGGTTGTTGTTACTTGTAGTCGTGGGCTATGTATCTGCTTCAGCTACAAGTGAGATATTGTGATGTAATTTTATATTTGTACATAGATAGTGAGATATTGTAATGTAGTTTTATATTTGTACATATATAGTGAGATATTGTGATGTAATTTTTATATTTGTACATAGATATTGAGATATTGTAATGTAGTTTTATATTTGTACATATATAGTGAGATATTGTGATGTAATTTTTATATTTGTACATAAATAATGATATATTGTACCAAACGTTTATGTTTGTACTAAGATAAAGATATATTGTAACATACTATAGATAACTTTACATACTTTCATTTATATATATATATAGATAGTGAGATATTTTCAACTTTCATATTTCTACATAAAAAGTTAGATGTTGTAGCAAAACTTATATATGTGTACACATATATCTGTACAATGTCATTTATATATTGTCATTTATTGTAGCATATTCATATATGTATGTAGATAATGCAAATAATGTGGCAAACTTTCATATTTCTAAATAAAGTGACATAATGACGTGTGAGATATTTTACCATACGCTATTGTTTGTACAAAGAAATCGAGGTGTTTCAGTATACTTTTGTAGGCCTTAAATATCTGGCACACGGCGTTAGCGCGAACTTTAAAAACATATGAAAATGTTGTTAACACAAGACAATAATATGAAAGTCGCGCGCAAAACTAAAAAATACACACACCGATGAGCAAAGTTCATCCTGTTTTGAGCCCAATACATGGGGCCGCCACTAAAAGTTCCCTCCTCTTTTGTCGGTCTTCGTCAGTTTACCTTGCAGTCCCCAATGGTTTTTATGTTGGTGTGTCACACTTGATGTAGAAAACAGTTAAATAAGCCTGCTAAGCCGAGTAGGTCTATTTCATTAACTAAGTATATAAGTGTAGCTCAAAAGGATTATTTTGTCCATCCCTTTAGGCGCCACCTTAAGGTGGGCGCCCGGGGCGGCCGCCCTATCCACCCTCTCCTAGCTACGTTTCTTCTGCTTCCCCGCCGTGCGCCTACACCTCTCCACTGGCCTTCTGTTTTATTTTTCCTTAAGGCGTCCAGTTTAGCGCCATTCCTGCGATATCACCTGGGCTCATAATGTTGCAATAATCTTGTTTCCTGGCACCAATCAACTGGTGTATTCAACAGACAACACACAAATCAATAGCGGGCTTGTGTTGTAAGCTGTTGGTAGATGGAGGTATATTTCCAAAAACAGATAATTGTCATCTGAGTATTATTTACTTGGATGGTATAATACAAATTTTAAAAAACCAAAAACAATAATCTTTTTAATATTTCAGTTGCATTCTGCTTGTAAAGCTTTAAACTCATGCAAATAAAAAATTATTTTGATTTGATTTTCCAGGCTGTGGCCCCAACACCCTGGACAAATTTGTTTCCATTCTCTGTGGCAACTACAGTAATTTAGGGGACATCAAGAAGGATGTTAGAAACAGATCACATGACCATATTCAGATAGAATTTGTGCCAGTTAACATTCCAGCATTGTACCCAGTAAGACAATATAATTTTTGCTAGTTAACATTCTAGCATTGTACCCAGAAAGACAATATAATTTTTGCTAGTTAACATTCTAGCCTTGTACCCAGTAAGACAATGGAATTTAGGTCCATTAACATCTAGCATTGTACCCAATATGAAAATAGAATTTGTCCCAGTTTTGTCAGTATTGTGCTAGTCTGAATTTTGGAATAAGTAAATGGGAATATTTAGTTTTACGTGACACTTTAAATAAAAGAAGACAACAAATACTTGTGTAAACACAGACTGTAAGTCAAGCTGTACTCGCTGAATGTAGAGTGTCTGCTAATTGTCACTGACATTGACAACAAATATAGGCCAAGGAGCACACGTGTCAGCATTAGTGACAACTGTGTCCGACTTGACTTGTAAGACTACACGTATTTTTGTTTTACAGAAAAAGTATAATTTGCGTCTTATTTAACCTGCATGCGAGTTTAAAATATTTTCATTAGTACGTAAGAGATAAAATGTAAGTTAAAATTAATTTTCTAATATACGATTTACTTTACATTGACACTCAATGTATAACAATCTAATTTCGACTTTTTCTGATGTATTTAAAAAAACGAGTGTTTGTTTTATCCAAAACTTTCCTTCTGTTGTAAAATTGCTTTAAAAATTGAAAAGTTGTGGACCGTCTCTCCTACACTTCCACACAGAGGCGTAGCGACCCTTCCCGGCGCCCGGGGACATACTTTCAATTTGGCGCCCCCCTCGGGAGCAAATTTTCGATTTGCACCCCCCCTCGAACTTTTCATTTGCACCCCCCCCCCCCCTCAAACTTTTGATTTGCACCCCCCCCTCGAACTTTTCATTTGCACCCCCCCCCTCAAACTTTCAATTTGGCGCCCCCCTAAGGTCGGCGCCCGGGGACATATGTCCCCCCCCCCCCGCCCCCCCCTCCCCCTCGCTACGCCTCTGCTTCCACACCTTAAATATAATTTCACCATTGCAGCGTTTTTTGTTAAGATTTACGATTTTAGAAAACCTTATTCTCTACATATGAATAACAACTTAAAGAAATCCTCTATGACAGGCCTCTTCACTGTACCACACATTCAGACGTAATGGCGTCATCATCAGGCAACACATCTGGGTCTGTAGTCTCAACACATTCAGCTATGTGGTGTGTCAGCCATACAACATCACAGTGCCAGTGTTGGATCAGTGAGTACAAAACATGGTGTGAGGTTTGCAACTGGCTTGATCAAATTTATTTTATCTTGTTTCACACCATCCACTATCTAGATTCTAGAGCGTACATTTTCCTCATGGCTGTTCTTCTTGTTCACTTTCAACATCAAAAAACTGTTTACAGAGTACCGTTTCTACTAGTCTCTTTCCCATAATTCAACTTTAGCATCATGCAGTGTTTACCATAATTTCAGTTCTCTCATAGTTCCCTTAGAAAATAATGAGAAGGCCACCGTACTGGTTCCCCTTAGAAAATAATAATGAGATCACCGTACTGGTTCCCCTTAGAAAATAATGTCTCCATGTGTCTCCCTCCCCAGGGATGGCGAGATCGACTACAATGCGGTGTCTGACCTCGACTACACTGTGTTAGATACCAACATGGCTTGTACCATTACATGGAGGACGGTGGAGTTCAACTTATTCTTCGGCTTCATGCCAGACTGCACCAATTATTACGGAGGGGTAAATATGGAGGCGACATGTGACCATTAATGCCTTCAGCGTCTGCGTGCATTTCTTCTCCTGTCCTGTAGTCTTGACGGGTGCCACAAGTGTCATACTGATAGCATTCCATCATTCCACTCTTTCTTCCGCCATCCTTGCTGATGTGTAGGCATATTTGTATTGAACAAGAAATATAAGTGATACAATGTTCCTTGTTTACCACTTACTATGATAACATATTTTCAGCCAATCGCTTCCTATGGAGTCCACCTTAGCTGTAACGCCTTATCATCCGTGACGTATCTGGACCTGTTCCCAGAAAAATCTAACAACGCTCCCTACATTGTGTGGAAAATTGACAGGTCCGTATAAAATAGTCTTAGTTGTGAGGTATTTTAATCTACCCGTGCATCTACACATCGACACTTGGTTAGTGAAAACTAGAGCATTGGCATTTTGTTTCACTTTAAATAATCATATTTATATTCCTTAAAAATCATTGGAAAACGAACAATTTTTGTTTACCTTATAAAAAAACAGCACGAAAAAAAAAAAAAAAGTTTTATCATGTAGTAAAGGAAACGTATAACCAATTGCACTTGAAACGTGTGCAATTATTATTATATATATTTACAAAATAAAGGGGTACTGCTATCTTGATGTATCTAACACTTTCACTGAGTTTTCAGCGTCTCTATAATCATCACGAAATATTCAGTTGTTTTTTTATTACTTTTCATTCACGTAGATAGTTGTAAAGTTGATCTTTTAGGCAATTCTGTTTTTTGTCTGTTTTTGCTTTGATTTTAGCTGTCACTTGATGTAAACAGTTTTTGTCTATTTTAGTTGTCGTTTGATGAAACAATTGTTGGACTATTTAGATGCACTAAATAACGTTTTAGTGGTCTCTTTTAGCTGTCCTTCAATGAACAACAACACCTCAGAGGACGACTATAATAAGCTGTGCAGCTGTTGAGATCTAGACAAGTTAACACAAATATTTGAGGCTACATGACACGGAATATTTGCTACATGTTATTGTTATCTAGTGTGAAATTAAAAACATGGCGTTTGCACAAAATTTTGTATTCAATTTTATTATTGATTAAATAGGACAGACGTGTTTTAAACTACATACAAGTGATAGTGTTCGGTTTCTGTCAAATGATCCGGAGTGTCAAAGGTCAGATTACACCTTCGAGCCAATCGACGTTATGAAATTAGGGCTGACTATTAGATTTTTGAGTGCTGCTAATGCAATACGACTTGACACCCTCCCCCTCTCCCCCATCCCTTTTCCCCCACCCTCCCTCTTCACCCATTCCTTTTCCCCCACCTTCCTTCTACCCCATCCCTTCCCCCATCCCTTTTACCCCACCCTCCCTCTCCCCCATCCCTACCCCTCCATCCCCAATCCCTTTTCCCCCATCCCTTCCCCTCTCCATCCCCCATCCCTTTCCCCCCCCCCCTCCCTCTCACCCGCGTCCATTTTTCCCCAACCTCCCACTACCCCTCATCCCTCTCCCCCATATCTTTCCCACCTCTTGCCTTCCTCCATCCATCCCCCTCATCCCTTCCCCCACACCACCGCCCCCTCATCCCTTCCCCCACACCACCGCCCCCTCATCCCTTTCCCCACACCATCCCCCCTCATCCCTTCCCGCACACCATCCCCCCCTCATCCCTTCCCCCACACCATCCCGCCTCATCTCTTCCCCCACACCATCCCCCCTCATCCCTTCCCGCACACCATCCCCCCCTCATCCCTTCCCCCACACCATCCCCCCCTCATCCCTTCCCCCACACCATCCCCCCTCATCCCTTCCCCCACACCATCCCCCCTCATCCCTTCCCCCACACCATCCCCCCTCATCCCTTCCCCCACACCATCCCCTCCTCATCCCTTCCCCCACTCCATCCCCCCCCTCATCCCTTCCCCCACTCCATCCCCCCCCCTCATCCCTTCCCCCACTCCATCCCCCCTCATCCCTTCCCCCACTCCACCCCCCCCCTCATCCCTTCCCCCACTCCATCCCCCCTCATCCCTTCCCCCACTCCATTCCCCCCTCATCCCTTCCCCCACTCCATTCCCCCCTCATCCCTTCCCCACACTCCATCCCCCCCCCCCTCATCCCTTCCCCACACTCCATCCCCCCCCCCCTCATCCCTTCCCCACACTCCATCCCCCCCCCTCATCCCTTCCCCACACTCCATCCCCGCCCCCTCATCCCTTCCCCACACTCCATCTCCCCCCCTCATCCCTTCCCCCACTCCATCTCCCCCCCCTCATCCCTTCCCCCACTCCATCCCCCCCTCATCCCTTCCCCCACTCCATCCCCCCCTCATCCCTTCCCCCACTCCATCCCCCCTCATCCCTTCCCCCACTCCATCCCCCCCCCTCATCCCTTCCCCCACTCCATCCCCCCCTCATCCCTTCCCCCACTCCATCCCCCCTCATCCATTCCCCCACTCCATCCCCCCCCTTATCCATTCCCCCACTCCATCCCCCCCCCCTCATCCCTTCCCCCACTCCATCCCCCCCTCATCCCTTCCCCCACTCCATCCCCCCCCTCATCCCTTCCCCCACTCCATCCCCCCCCTCATCCCTTCCCCCACACCATCCCCCCCTCATCCCTTCCCCCACTCCATCCCCCCCCTCATCCCTTCCCCCACTCCATCCCCCCCTCATCCCTTCCCCCACTCTATCCCCCCTTCATCCCTTCCCCCACTCCATCCCCCCCCTCATCCCTTCCCCCACTCCATCCCCCCCTCATCCCTTCCCCCACTCCATCCCCCCCTCATCCCTTCCCCCACTCCATCCCCCCCCCCCCCTCATCCCTTCCCCCACTCCATCCCCCCCTCATCCCTTCCCCCACTCCATCCCCCCCCTCATCCCTTCCCCCACACCATCCCCCCCTCATCCCTTCCCCCACTCCATCCCCCCCCTCATCCCTTCCCCCACTCCATCCCCCCCCCCTCATCCCTTCCCCCACTCTATCCCCCCTTCATCCCTTCCCCCACTCTATCCCCCCTTCATCCCTTCCCCCACTCCATCCCCCCCTCATCCCTTCCCCCACTCCATCCCCCCCTCATCCCTTCCCCCACTCCATCCCCCCCTCATCCCTTCCCCCACTCCATCCCCCCCTCATCCCTTCCCCCACTCCATCCCCCCCCTCATCCCATCCCCCCCTCATCCCTTCCCCCACTCCATCCCCCCCCTCATCCCTTCCCCCACTCCATCCCCCCCCCTCATCCCTTCCCCACACTCCATCCCCCCCCCTCATCCCTTCCCCCACTCCATCCCCCCCTCATCCCTTCCCCCACTCCATCCCCCCTCATCCCTTCCCCCACTCCATCCCCCCTCATCCCTTCCCCACACTCCATCCCCCCCCCCCCCCCTCATCCCTTCCCCCACTCCATCCCCCCCTCATCCCTTCCCCCACTCCATCCCCCCTCATCCCTTCCCCCTCTCCATCCCCCCCTCATCCCTTCCCCACACTCCATCCCCCCCCCTCATCCTTCCCCACACTCCCCCCACCATCCCCCCACCATCTCCACCCAACATGTATTACCCTCATTCCCCGTCTCCCCACACTACAGCTACTACCATCACCACATCCCTACCCATCCCCTTTCTCTCATACAACAATACGATACACCAGCTATGCAATACAACAACGCAATAAAATAATTAAATAAACAAGACATGAGAGCGAATTTGAAAATGTCAGTTGCTCCCATTTTTTTTAAACACACTTTTATTCCAACACATTTCTTTTTTATTTCTAAAACGTAGATTATTTTTAGTGTGAACTTTATTTTTCTTGAGTTTAAATTTAAAAAAAACAACATTTAAGCTATTTCATACACTTTGGTTTTTCGCATTCAAAGGAGGATCAAATCCTCATAGGGTAGACATTTTTTTATACTGTGGGTCCTCACATGGTGGGCTGGTCATGTCCTCACATGGTAGGCTGGTCATGTGGGCTTGTCATGTCCTAACATGGTGGGCTGGTCATGTCCTCACATGGTGGGCTGGTCATGTCCTCACATGGTGGGCTGGTCATGTCCTCACATGGTGGGCTGGTCATGTCCTCACATGTTGGGCTGGTCATGTGGGCTGGTCATGTCCTCACATGGTGGGCTGGTCATGTCCTCACATGGTGGGCTGGTCATGTCCTCACATGGTGGGCTGGTCATGTCCTCACATGGTGGGCTGGTCATGTCCTCACATGTTGGGCTGGTCATGTGGGCTGGTCATGTCCTCACATGGTGGGCTGGTCATGTCCTCACATGGTGGACTGGTCATGTCCTCACATGGTGGGCTGGTCATGTGGGCTGGTCATGTCCTCACATGGTGGGCTGGTCATGTCCTCACATGGTGGGCTAGTCATGTCCTCACATGGTGGGCTGGTCATGTGGGCTGGTCATGTCCTCACATGGTGGGCTAGTCATGTCCTCACATGGTGGGCTGGTCATGTGGGCTGGTCATGTCCTCACATGGTGGGCTGGTCATGTCCTCACATGGTGGGCTAGTCATGTCCTCACATGGTGGGCTGGTCATGTCCTCACATGGTGGGCTGGTCATGTCCTCACATGGTGGGCTGGTCATGTCCTAATATGGTGGGCTGGTCATGTCCTCTGGTCATGTCCTCACATGGTGGGCTGGTCATGTCCTCACATGGTGGGCTGGTCATGTCCTCACATGGTGGGCTGGTCATGTCCTCACATGGTGGGCTGGTCATGTCCTCTGGTCATGTCCTCACATGGTGGGCTGGTCATGTCCTCACATGGTGGGCTGGTCATGTCCTCACATGGTGGGCTGGTCATGTCCTCACATGGTGGGCTGGTCATGTCCTCATATGGTGGGCTGGTCATGTCCTCTGGTCATGTCCTCACATGGTGGGCTGGTCATGTCCTCACATGGTGGGCTGGTCATGTCCTCACATGGTGGGCTGGTCATGTCCTCATATGGTGGGCTGGTCATGTCCTCTGGTCATGTCCTCACATGGTGGGCTGGTCATGTCCTCACATGGTGGGCTGGTCATGTCCTAATATGGTGGGCTGGTCATGTCCTCTGGTCATGTCCTCACATGGTGGGCTGGTCATGTCCTCATATGGTGGGCTGGTCATGTCCTCACATGGTGGGCTGGTCATGTCCTCACATGGTGGGCTGGTCATGTCCTCTGGTCATGTTCTCACATGGTGGGCTGGTCATGTCCTCACATGGTGGGCTGGTCATGTCCTCACATGGTGGGCTGGTCATGTCCTCACATGGTGGGCTGGTCATGTCCTCACATGGTGGGCTGGTCATGTCCTCACATGGTGGGCTGGTCATGTCCTCACATGGTGGGCTGGTCATGTCCTAATATGGTGGGCTGGTCATGTCCTCTGGTCATGTTCTCACATGGTGGGCTGGTCATGTCCTCACATGGTGGGCTGGTCATGTGGGCTGGTCATGTCCTCATATGGTGGGCTGGTCATGTCCTCACATGGTGGGCTGGTCATGTCCTCACATGGTGGGCTGGTCATGTCCTCATATGGTGGGCTGGTCATGTCCTCTGGTCATGTCCTCACATGGTGGGCTGGTCATGTCCTCACATGGTGGGCTGGTCATGTCCTAATATGGTGGGCTGGTCATGTCCTCTGGTCATGTCCTCACATGGTGGGCTGGTCATGTCCTCATATGGTGGGCTGGTCATGTCCTCACATGGTGGGCTGGTCATGTCCTCACATGGTGGGCTGGTCATGTCCTCTGGTCATGTTCTCACATGGTGGGCTGGTCATGTCCTCACATGGTGGGCTGGTCATGTCCTCACATGGTGGGCTGGTCATGTCCTAATATGGTGGGCTGGTCATGTCCTCTGGTCATGTTCTCACATGGTGGGCTGGTCATGTCCTCACATGGTGGGCTGGTCATGTCCTCACATGGTGGGCTGGTCATGTCCTCACATGGTGGGCTGGTCATGTCCTCACATGGTGGGCTGGTCATGTCCTCACATGGTGGGCTGGTCATGTCCTCACATGGTGGGCTGGTCATGTCCTCACATGGTGGGCTGGTCATGTCCTCACATGGTGGGCTGATCATGTCCTC